TTTATAATAAGGGAGGGCTTGTTCAACGTGTATCGGACTGGTTGCACTGTGTCACGACGCTTTGTCTCCCTCTGTATGCCCCAGCACCTAGTGCTGTGGCTGGCACGATAAACAGGAACATTTGTTAAGCAGTTGCTCTGGTGTCCGCTCCCTGCTAGGCTGATTACGGAGAAGGACAGTTCCTGACCTCTAGGAGGATCGGATGCTTAATACACGATTAAATGATTCATGCGGCAGCTGCCCTCGGTGCCCCGGGATGCTCAGAGCTAGGTGCAGAAGGCTTCCTGGGGAGGCGGGCTTAACTAGATCTGTAGGCGAGTGTGTGAGGTGGGCAGGGGGCGATGAGATTGGAGGAAGTGGGGAGACGTCGAGAGTGGAGGGCCTCCTTGGGTCAGTTTAGGACCTTGAATTTTTTTCCCAGAGGCGGCGGGAAGCCAGGAATGTTTTCTAGGCCAGAGTTTGCACTTTATAGGTTAAACAGATATCATCCTCCCCTTTCTTCGAGGCAGAGCCTGAGACCTCAGGGATCGAGTCAGAGTCATTCAGCCAGCCAGCCAGGCCTTGGCCTCCGGGTGGGGGCCTATTCCTAGTAGTCCAGCATTTCCACTGTTACATGGACCCCATTTGGAAGCAGAAGCAGACTTACAGTGACTTAGATGGCCGGGACCAGGACTGCAGTGCCGGCAGTTAGAGAGGAATGGTCAAATGTGAGAGATCTGTAAAGACAAGATTTCACAGTTTTGAAACAAGCAACGGGTTGTTCCTTAGAGTAATAATGTGTTCGTGTTTATCACGGACAGTTCAGCTCCCCTTGGTGAGAAATGACTGCTGCGTCCTTGCTTTGGGGACAAGTTTTTCAGGAAATGCCGGAGCCGTGCAGTCTGATTTCTTGGGAACCTTCAGTGCCTCCCCGCTAATATCTCCGGGGGGCGGGGATGGGGGGGGTGGGCGCTGAGTATGAATATGCAGACACTTCTTGGGTGTTAACGCTGGAGGGATGAAGCAAAGGATCCTATGGAGGGTTTTTGGGGCGATTGAAAAGTTCCCGATACAAGCAGAGTAATTCCAGTTTTGGGTTCTGGAGAGAGTAACCGCGTTCGGATATTTTTAAACGGCCAGTGGAGTTGGGAGAGAGTCTAAACCCAAAGTACAAATTTTCAGTTTAATTTTAACTTTGCACTTAGCTCACACCCATGGTTTGGCGGGGAGAATAGGCCTCACTTTTTTTTTTTTTTCTTTTTTAAGCAGAATACACCCTGGATGTAAAAGGGATGTTCTCTTCACATGGAAGGGTTTGCAGCAGCAGCAGCAGCGAGCAGAGATGGGAGGAAGCGGGCTGGAATTGCAGCAGGATTTCAAAGTCAGTTTAGGGAAGGTTGGGGTGGGTTTGACGTTTTGAAACACGTTAGCCTGCCCTGGAGCTGTAAGAAAGCGTGGCCTTGTGTGGAAGCAGGTGGAACAGGGGGTGGACGGAATACCTTCCACAGGTCAGCTCTTGGGCTGGAGTTTTTGTTTTTTCCTGTTTGGTGCATTACAGACACTTCACAGGCTGCTTACTTGCCATCCCCGATGTGACTCATCACCTCACAGAGAGGCAGTGGGTTTCCCCCGATGTGGTTTGGCCTCTCTGGTGTAAGCCTCAGCCCACCCCTCCCCTCTTTGATCTCTCCCCAAACTGTGCTGAAACCCCGCCAGGAAGGAAATGCAGAAACCATGGGGATCCCGGAGGCCCCACAGACCTGGAGCAGCCACCTGGACTTCCAGACACCACAGGCTTTCCCTCCTGAGCGATGGGAAGCAGCCTCTTTCTCCTTGGGGAAGAGCAGGGTCTCAGGCCCCCCGGGTCCCTCTCCAGGTCCTCCCCCACTGACTGCAGTGTCATTGGAACGGGGGCTGGGTTAAGTTTTGTGCTTTGGTTACCGAGGAAGTGTAACCAGGGTGGGACCGCTGGGAGTGGCCCCCACCCGCCGGTGGAACAGTTAGAAGAGGGGCCTAAGGGGGTGTAGGTGCCGTCAGGGTAGCTTGTAGGATCAGTTGGGGGTCTGCAAGAGCCTGTGCCCTGCACTTGGGAATAGCAGGGAAACCCTCCTTATCTTGCGGCAACACTGACCATCGGGGTCCATTAGATACCCACCTATGCCCATTCCTGGGGCTTTAGGACCTGTGGTTCAGATGTGGCTGTAAAATGGGAGAACACCCCAGGAACACCCTGTGGAGCGATTGTGAGGATTAAATGAGACAGTGCCTGTGAAGAGTGTGCCTGCTAAGGGGTCTGGAAAGAGCCCATGATTGTTGTTAATAAAAGCATCAGTAGTGGTGGCTTGCATATTGTCCCCGAGAGGAATGGCCACCAGTTTGGGCATGGTGCTGGGAGCTGGAGCTGGAACCTTGGGTCTGTCTGTAGAATTCCCAGGCAGCATTGTGCCTCTCCGGGACAGAGGCTGACTTCCAGGAGGAATTCCCTTGACTCCACAGCACCATCTCTCCCTGTTACTGAGGCCTCCTCCTTGGCTGATGGCCGTAAGAGGAGAAGCCCTGGACCCATCTAGAAAAACCACATGTCTGAAATCTTTGAGGGTGGACTGGAAACCCTTCTCATATTTGTCTTTCTTTGGTGGAGCTTAAACAATTCCCAGGGCCTTCCAAGGAAAGGAGTGAATGGAGGAGCCACTCCAGTGGCTGTGTGACCCCAGCAGTAACTGCAAACGAGGGGGAGGTGACTCTCCCTTCCCCGGGAAAGTTGATCTCCCTCCACTGTTCCCCTAAGGCCTGGTTTCCTGGCTCTACACTGATTTCCTGCCCTAGGGCAGAAGGCCTCATGGGATTCATTCCCAGGCACACTTGCAGTGACCTTGAGAAAGGTGGCTTGACCTGGACATCCCCTCCCCTGGGGACTGAGAGAGTGGGAAAGAACTTAACTTCCCCGATCCCAGATCCAAGGGAAAGGTGGGCTCTGGCGCTGGTGCTTGAGCCGAGAGCTTGCTAGCTCTGGGTGAGGGTGAGAGCTGCCTCGCCCGGCTTTGCCCCTCCTGGCAAATTGCTGCAGTCCTCGACTGAGCAGGCGCTCTCTCTCCACCAGGGAAGAAGGCAGTGCAACTATAGGGTGCTTGGCCCACACATGCCCCGAGCTCTCCTGGTCTGACCACTGGCAAGGGTGGACTGAGGAGGGGCACAGCAGCCTGCTGTGGATTCTGTTCCCCCCGTGTTGGCCCAGGGACGCCCGAGTAGGAGGACCACTGAGACAGACAGTCATCCTGGGCCGTGCAGGAGGAAGCTGGGCAAATGGGCCTGCTGAGAGGCAGGGAGCAGCCCTGGGCAGGGACTGCTTAGAATAGGCCTGTCTGCTTATCTAGGAGGAGAGCCTGCTCCCTGCCTCTCAGCAGGAGTGACAATGCAGGGCTGCTGTGGTGAAGGACGGGCCTGTACCGAGTGACCCATGGGTGAGAAATCCGAACCTGTGGGTGAAGTCCCAGGGAGGCATCATATCCAGCTGACGTCGGTACATGTTTCCTGGAGGCTGTAGGGAGGGGGCACGTGGAGATGCTGTGTCAAGCACCAGGTGCAGCCAGGAGGGATCACCTTTAAGGTGCCTGCCAGCCCTGGAAGGCCAGGGAGCAGCCCTCTATCAGCTCAGGACAGGAGTGGATAACTCTGGGCATCTCTCTGGAGGGCCAGGCAGCCTGGTGTCCCTTGCTGACTCCCCCTGGGTCATTTCAGGCCTGAGACCTGAGGACTCTTCCTCAGCCTGTCTCCCTACCATCTGCGCTGGAACCTGCAGCCAGGTCTGCCTTTTAACAACACAATGAGATGGTAGCTCTTTATCAGCTCTTTCTATCTCATTTGAAATAAGGATTTAGGTCCCAAGTTTTGGGTAAGAAGAGAAGAGAAGGGAATCTAAGAACTCTAATAGGGCAAAACCACCTCCAGGGAGTTGGCAGGGGCAGGCAGGGCCACAGAGGTGCCTCCAAAGACTGACTTTTGGACTTTGCCAACCTCAGCATATCTATATGGGTCCATCTTGGGTTTGTGGATATCCATTCTCTCCTTCCACATCTACTCCCAGGACCCTGAAGAGCAAAGTCTAGAGCCATGATATTCCATATGGTAATTTACATGTTTCTCTTTACACTTATATTGATTAAAACTAAATAAAATTTGGGACTCTCCAGCAGTCCAGTGGTTAAGACTCTGCGCTTCCACTGGTTTGACCCCTGGTTGGGGAACTAAGATCCCACATGCTGTGCGGTGTGGCCAAAAAAAACCCCCAACTAAATAAAATTTAAAACTTAGTTCCTCAGTCTCACCTCGGCGGCCACATGTGGCTAGTGGCTCTTCTCTTAGATGGGTTTCCATCGTCACAGAAAGTTCTGTTGGTTCTGGTGGACAGCGCTGGTCCAGAGGATGGAGAGTTGGAGGGGTCCCTGGTCTGTGACCCTTACAGTGGGGCCAAGTGGTGAATGCCAGGCCGGATGGGCAGGCTCTGACCGTGGTGGCAGGGGCAGGTACGAGTGCAAGCAGAGGGGGACGTCCTGGGAGCCGTCCACGGACACATGGAGGTGAAAGGCCCGTGGGGGGGCTGAGGAGGTGAAGTCGTAGGTAGCTGACCTCAGTAAGACGGTCAGGCAGGGCCGTGGTGGGCGCTGGGAGAGGGGCTCTGATGGAATGGCAAGGCCGAGAGGTTGCCAACAGTGTTACGGCTGGTACAGTGGGGAGCTGGGGGCTGAGGTGTGGCGGTAGGGTTGGAAGGAGACACCGGCCCCAGCCTTGCCGACAGCAGCGGGGCCTATTGCGTTTGTCTTCTCCAGTCCGGCCAAGGCTCCTGTCCGGAGGGGCCCCCTGGTTCTGCAGCTCCGTTCACCGCAACGCTCCCCTAGATCCCCCCAGCATTGGTACGGGCAGAAAGATCAGGGTGGGCGCTGGTGCTGCCATGCTTCCTGGCCTGCCTCCTGCCCTCCCCCTCCCCCTCGCCCAGTTGGTTCACGCCCTCCTTCCCTTTCCAGGTGAAAGAGCTTGTCCTGGACAACTGTCGGTCAAATGAAGGCAAAATCGAAGGCCTCACAGATGAATTTGAAGAACTGGAGTTCTTGAGTACAATCAACGTAGGCCTCACCTCAGTCGCAAACTTACCAAAGTTAAACAAACTTAAGAAGGTAAATAGAGCGGAGGAGCGTGTGTGCTTGGGAGGCCGGGCTGGGGAGGAGGAAAGGGTCATTGTTCCACATTGAGGGAGCGTAACTGAAGGGGGGAGGCCGGGTGCGAGCCCCAGCCCCAGCACGCCTGCCGGGTCCTGAGCCAACTCCCTTCCTGGCCTGTCTGCGGGGAGCCGGCTGCCTGAGCCCAGAGCCTTCCTTTTAAAAGCCATTTCTGCTTTTTCTCTCCCTGCCTCTTTAGCTTGAACTAAGCGATAACAGAATCTCAGGGGGCCTGGAAGTATTGGCAGAAAAGTGTCCGAACCTCACGCATCTAAATTTAAGTGGCAACAAAATTAAAGACCTCAGCACAATAGAGCCACTGGTGAGTCACTGGGGTGGGAGGGATTGATATCAGGGAATATACTACTTTTGCCTTTGTATAACATGCTTTTTTGTTTTTACTCTAATTGTGTACCATGAGATAGAGTCGGGGCTCCTACTTCTGGTTCGTCCGTAGAGAAACAGGCCTAGAGAAGTTAAAGAGCTTGACCAGGGTTGCACAGTTAGAATGGGCATCAGGGTGAAGGATGCTGTAGGACCCAGGTCTCAATTTCTGGTCTAGTGCTTTTCTTCTTACAGTTTCTTCTCAGCTTTGGAAACCTGAGCTGTCATTTCTTTAGGCTTAGAGCATGGCTTGTGCCCTTCACTGGGGAGAGAGGAGCCATCCGGGAATTAAGCTGACCCTGGAGGTGGTCACCTGCTTTCTCCTTGGGTCACTGGCCAGAGGCTAGCACCTCTGAACCGTGGGAGGTGGGTTGGTCCCGACACAGGCCCCCTGGGATGACAGAGAGCCGTGTGGCACGGGAGCCCCATGCAGGCCTTCCCCTGTGGGGCGCAGAGAAGAGGGACCCTGGTCACCAGTCCTGGGTGTGATGGTGACCAGGGACTCAGAGATCTGGGCTGCATTTCCTCCTCCGCTGGTCCACATAGAGCTGAGCACACCCCAAACCTCACGATTCACTAGCCAGAAAGGGGCAGGTCATGGTTAGAATAACAGTTTCTATATTACCCAGATCTGAATGACTGTATTCCCTTGACTTCAAGGAAGTCAACTGTAAGATGTATCACTGATTCATGATAGCTTTTTTGAAATGTAGAAATAACTACCGCATTAAATTAACACTTACTGTAAATATATACATAAGAATGACTGTAAGTCATGTGCCTTAGAATCAGGGAAAGGCCATGAGGATGTCTGGCCAAGTGGGCCACGTTTCCCTTCTCTGGGTATATAGAGTGGCAGTTGGGGCATCTCTCAGTTTGCGTTCTTGTCCAAAACACATTCCTTGCCCTTCATGGATGCTTGAAGGGCAGGTTGATGGGCCAGCGTGGCAGAACGGGAGAAGCTGGCATTTCTCCTCCCAGCTCAGACTTTACCTACCTGCTCATCTGTGGCATAGGTTCAACTACGAGACTATGCTGCCCATTGCACTTTCTTTCAGGTCTTCCACCAGTTTCCCCGGGGAAGCAAACTATGTTGCTCTACCTGGAAGCCTTGATTTCATAATTTCAGTATAAGAGGAAAAAATCCTTGAAGTTCTGTATATGTGTGTTTTAGTTGTGATTTGGGTACCACTGTAGATCGATCACACACACACACACACACACACACACACACACACACACACTATTCCCTTGCCCAGACCACACATGGTTTTGTAGCTTCTTCCCTGATTATCAGTGTGATTAACGTGTTTTACTCACTTCTGAGAGTGGAGAAACTGTCTTTGGTTGGGAGATGCTGGCCTCACCCACCCAGTCCGCAGCTCGGACTCCTTCCCTGCCCTTGACCCTCTGCCGAGAATGACCGGGTCTCAGTCCCGAAATCTCAAGAGAGCAGCCTCATTCCTGACATTGACCCTGAGGGACAGTAGCCTTAATCACCAGTTATGCCTGGCCCCACTGGAACAGGGACTTGGCCCGGGGTGGGGTTCCTGCGCCCTGAAGACGTGTGAGGTAGGAAGTCAGGAGGCAGCTGTTTCTTGCTAGATGTATGACCGTTTTGCTTCCTGGGCCTCAGATTCCAGCCACCAAGTGGGTATAATATGGGCCTAGAACCCATCGATACATAAAGCTTTGATAAAGCAAATTGTGCTAAGTACTATGGACAAAATCTGGATGCTTCACTGGTTTTTCTCTTGTCCGTTTTGACAGGCAAAGAGTAAGCGCACGGGTCTGAAGTCGGGCTGCCTGATCAAATCCCAATTCTCTGCCCTCTGCTTCCTTGTCTGGAAAATGAACTAATAATTATTTCTGCCTTATCGGGGTCATGAGGATAAATTGAGTTAATCCATAAAGTGCTATATTAATTGCCATTATTATTATTATTCATAGAAGGAGGTAGTTTGTTAGTTCCTGTGGCCTTTTCAGTTCCTCTCTGGCTCCTTAGTCACAGGGGCAGGCAGCAAAGCTCCTGGCTTATGCATCAAGGGAGCCCCGGGTTAATTTCAGGTGCGTCACCGTTACGGCAAGAGCTGTAATTGCAGAATAAAAGTGTTGGCATCGGATGAGGCTTCGAAGATCCTCAAGTCCAACCCCCCATCTTCCACGTGAATGAACATGAGGCCCCCCCCAGCCAGGGCTGACACGGCCGGACAGAGCCAAACCAGAGTGTGCTCATCACCTGTGAGCCTGGAGCTCTGCACGCCGTCTCACATCACCCCCATCTGTCTCCCCACCCCGCCTCCCACGCCACTCACTGTCAACTTTGTTATTTGCTTGCAGAAAAAGTTAGAAAACCTCAAGAGCTTAGACCTTTTCAATTGCGAGGTGACCAACCTGAACGACTACCGAGAAAACGTGTTCAAGCTCCTTCCTCAGCTCACGTACCTCGATGGCTACGATCGGGACGACAAGGAGGCCCCCGACTCGGACGCCGAGGGCTACGTGGAGGGCCTGGAGGATGACGAGGAGGATGAGGATGGTGAGTGGCGCCAGGGAGAGGCCAGGCCAGGCTTTATGGGGGGCGGGCTGGGTGTCAGGGGGCCTCCACTGGCCCCCGAGGCCTATCGACCTCTTTCTAGAGCTGTGGAGGGGAGTGGGCTGTCTGCTCTGTTTACTGTTGTCCCTGGTCTGTCTCATTGATTGACGGCCCTAAAATAACAGGGCCTGAGCCCCAGAGAAACATCCTGAGGTTCTCCAACTGCATAATAACTCCTTAAAAACCATCTGAGTCTTCCTTCAGTTTTTTTCCCTTTTCCAAAGTCCCCCTGAAAATGAGATCCTACAGTGTCTCTCTATAGTGTGGTGCCGGACTCAGATACTCTTCCAGGGAGGGGATGAGCGGATGGAGGAAGGTGGGGTGTGGCCTGAGGGTCCCCTCTCTCCATCTAGGGTCCGGTAGTGGAGATGAGGTCACGGCTGGAGAGGTCGTGGGGCCCCCAGCTGACTGCCGCCCACGGGACCACATGGTAGGACCTGGGGGGTGAGGACTCAGGAGCCCCAGGGGACCAGGAAGCAGATGAGGCTGCAGGCAGCACGTTGGGCTCCCTGGTGGTGCGGTGAGCAGTCAGGGACCACAGGAAGGAAAGAAGGAAAAGGAAGGAGAGCCTCGCATTTCCTTCCCACACTGCCAGTTCAGTGCGGCTTCCCTACAGGTCTTTGTGGCCAGAGTAAAGTTGAGGGTTGAGACCTTGCCTGAATAATTCAGATGTAAGAGTGCTTTTCCCTTGTTAGGTGGGTGTATTTTACAAGGGATTCAGACACCCTGTTTGCCTTAGTTTGTTCCATCTTGTGATGGGACAGAAAGGTCCCAGGACTGGAGCCCTGAGACCAGGCTTCTAGGCCCAGATCTGCAGCTAACTCCAGGTGTGACCTTAAACAACTCACTTCTCCCGCTCTGGGACTCCGTTTCCTCACCTTTAGGGCAGCGCGTTTGGCTAGATGCTCTTTGTGAATGAATTGACTTCTCAGCTGTCCCAGGCCTGTACCTTGGTTCTCTGATCCGGCATTTTCTCTCCCACCTCAGCCTCCACGAGAGATCTTTTGTTCTCGTAATACTTGGGAGGAGGGCTTACCTTTGGGATCATTTTAGGATGCTTATTTTCTGGGTTACTTTAGGATGCGTTCAGTCACATTAGAGCTTCCAGGCTGTGGGCCTGGACGGGCGTGGGAGAGTCGTGGGCCGCACACCTCTGGCGCCAGGCCCTGGGCCTGTGCTGTGGGAGGGAAGGGCCAGCTCACCACCAGTTTTCTTCTTGTCCCCATTCCCACCGCACAGAGGAAGAGTATGATGAAGATGCTCAGGTAGTGGAAGATGAGGAGGACGAGGAGGAGGAGGAGGAAGGTGAAGAGGAGGATGTGAGCGGAGAGGAAGAGGTGAGAGGTTGGGCTGGGCAGGGAACCGTCTCTCGGAGCCCCCCTCACTTACCCTGCTGCCTCTGAGTCAGTCCCACTAACTGCCTCAGTGATCCGCCTCGGCAGCCGGGAGCCCTGGCTGGTAATCGAACCCACTTCAGGGCCTGTTACTGGGTTGGTCTGGGAGAGGCAAGCCTTGCAGCTGGCCCTGGAAAAGAAAGAGGGAGGGGATTCATCTGCTGGGGCAAGCCTGGCACTTGTTTCCACATGAAAATTAGCTCCTGTAGAATCCACATCCCCTTTTTCTACCTCTTTGCGTTAGTATGTTAATTCAGATATTCAGTGAGCACTTACAGTGTGCTAGGGAAAATCAAAGGCTGCCTTGAACTGGTGGGTAATAGGATAAGACACTGCTGGATTCCACATCAGAGGGCGACAAGTGTCCCCTGTACACAGCGGATAGTGCCATTATCCAAACACTGTCTGGCATCATTTTTTAACAAGGTCTGGGATGTGTCTGTGATGGGGTGGATCCCAGCTTCTACCACTTGCTAGCCGGGTGTCCCTGAACAAGTTCCTTGACCTTCTGAGCCTATTTCCTCATCTGTACAATAGGTGTCATTTTACAGCTGGGTTGTAAATAGGGATCAACTCACTGGCTTAAGAGGATAAAATAATTTGTAAGTAAAATGTTTAAGGACAAGGGAGTGTCTGACCACTTACTATTTTAGGCTTTCACGCCCTTCTCCAAGGTCCTGGCTCTGTGTGCTGGGTTTTGTGTTTGGATGTTCTGAGTCTTCCTATAGCAGAGTCATTTTCCCTGGCTTTTCAGATTTCTAAATCAACTCTTGCTAATTGCAAAACTTAGACCGAGAGAGGTTTAAAATGATGACAGTGTGGACAAGGTACCTGCCTTCTCTCCCAGTTCCCTGTCTCTCTCCATCAAGGACACAGATACCTGTCTGCCACACAGACCTGCTCAGGCGGGATCTCCCAGCTGGCCCCCCACAAGCTGGGGAGAGGCAGGTCGGGGTTAGTGAGAAAGCTGGTGAGATAGGCTTGGTTCCCGTCAAGTTGTACTGCTGGGTGTCTCTTCTCCCCAAGTGTAGGCTGCTAGGCTCACCTCTGAAGAATATTGTGTATTTTAAACATAGAGACCTAGCAAAATAGGCCCCCCCAGGACAGGGCAATAAGTCATGTTGGCCAATGAAAGGAGAGCGCGCGCGCGCACACACACACACACACACACACACACACACACACACACACACACACACACACACACACACACACACACACACTGATTAAGGAACTATTTGGTGACATTATGAAAGGATATTTCCCTTGACAAAAAGAAGTCTGTTGCCAAGTTCTTATTAAACAGAGGGCTGCCTGGTACTTTAGGAACAGTGTTCATGCAGAGATTCAACTAGCCTGGATCTACCGGAGCAGCGTGAAGCGTGGTCCTGTGTTGAGGGGGAATTCATACCCCTTGCTGAATCTCACGGAGCTGGGAGTAATGTGCTGGGCAGGGGGTGAGAATTGTATTTTTCCTCCCTCCAAGTGACCCAAGTTTGCAAGACGGTGAAGGGGCTGCACTCACGCACAGACTGGGGTCTGGACTGGGGTCTTCTCTTGAAGCCAAAACTAGAGTGAGGACAGATGAAAGCTCGGCCTGCTTCACACGATGGAGAGTCGGCTGGGAAACTTGTTTCCCTAGGAGGGCACACTGCGGAGCTGCCTGAGTTATAGGGACTTCAGGTCAGGAATTCTTAACGGGGGATAGAATCCACCCCCCTCTGCTGACACTGTTTGCAGATATTGTGTGTAATGTGGGTATTTTCTAGGGAAGGGGTTCGAAACTTTCTACAGATTCTTAAAGGGGGGTCCTTGACACAAAAGAACCTCTGCTTTAGGTTCACCGGTGCAAAGCAGGTCCATGGGAGCTCTGAGGGGCTGGGGGCGGCCCCTACCTTTCTGAGCTCGGTGTCAGGGAAAGTGGCATCCTCCACGTGTCCCACAGTCGGGGCGTTCCTAATGTCCGGTGTCCATCTTCTCTCCTAGGAGGATGAGGAAGGTTATAACGATGGGGAAGTAGACGATGAGGAAGATGAAGAGGAGCTTGGTGGTACGGCAGCGTTTTTACTCTCCGTGGGTAGCAGGCTGGCCCCCTCAGTCGACAGTAGATGGCCTGGGTCCTGAGGGCCTGGCCTTGGTTTGCCAGGGTTGGCAAAGCATCCTAGACGTACGGTCCCCTGCTTTCCCAGCCGGGGGGCGGGGGGGGGGGCGGGTTGAGTAGGAGGCGGGATCCGTGTTTAATCTGAATGCCTTTTCCTTACTCTTCCAGAAGAAGAAAGGGGTCAGAAGCGAAAACGAGAACCTGAAGATGAGGGGGAAGACGATGACTAAGTGGAATAACCTATTTTGAAAAATTCCTATTGTGATTTGACTGTTTTTACCCGTACCCCCCCAAATCCCACTCCCCGAAACTTATTTTTTTCTGATTGTAACGTTGCCGTGGGAACGAGAGGGGAAAAGTGTACTGGGGGTTGTGGGGGGAGGGAGGGGGGAGGGGTGGAATAAAATACTATTTTTACTGCCACTCTTTATTTTTTTTCCCCTACTTTTTCTTTGTGTCTGTTTTGTCCCTGATAAATTTGCGATAGCTGAGTACACACAAGTGAGCGTTTGTTCCTTACCCTCAAAGAAAGAGGACGGTTTGGAGATCTCTGACATTTCCTGGCATTTCCCGAGTCTCCTGAGTTGGTTGGAAGGCCTTGGCTGGCCTCAGTTTGGTTTCTCAAAGCCCAGGAGGGGCTGAGCACCAGCCGCATCTTACCTCTTGTTCCGGTTCCCGTGATTTCCGCATTTCTTGGGCCTGCTAGAGGCAGCCAGCGCCCTGGTTTGTAAATAGCAACCTAAAGGCGTATTTTGGCGCTGGTCGGGGGATCTTCCCCGTCTCCCGTCCCCTTTCCCTCTTCACAGATGCTGGTGGGCTCCGCTGTCCGAAGAAGACTGGTGTCACTCTTGTGATGAGCCAGAGAGCTGAGAGCAGCAGGCTTCTGAGTTAGGAGTAAAATGGATTTGGTAATTCTAATTAAAAGAGAAGCAAACCCTCAAACTTCAACCTCTTTCAAAGATTAAAAACAAAACTGTCCTATCTCGTTCTGTAAAATATTAGAACGCTTTGTTTTACAAAATGACAAGAGAATTCTTCTATGTGTCCTTCTGTGCTTAGACCATTTTTACAAACCTAAGCACAGGAGATGCTGCTGCATGTCGGCTGGGTTTCTTTTTTCATACACTCGAGCACGGAAAAACTAACGCAAAATTGTATTTTCTTACCTAGTGGAAATCTGAAATGACTGCAAATTCCTAGCGAATGTACAGGTTTGCTTTCCTGTGTCCCTCTTCTGGATTGCTTTTGAAGTGACGTGTGACTCCTTAGCCCGTGTTTCATCTGTATAAAAGAACATCTGCACCGGTTCCCCCCACCCCTCAGAAGAGCCAAACTTTGAGTTTTATGTCTGTTTGTCATTGATAAATTTCAATAAATCTTTTTATACAATTTTTTTGGGGGTGGCTTCTTTTGAGTCCAACAGGTCATTGATCTCGGATGAATTCCAGATAACCTGCTAGCTGATGGGGGTGCAGGGGCGAGCTTCACCTCGGTTACCTGATAAAAACGTTTTTCTTACAGGATATATAACCTGATACACTAAGTTTGGATACTTTGGGTCTCACCTTGAGACTCGGTGGTGTGCTATCTTCATTAAAAACTTCATTTGGGTGGGGAAGTGGGGGTGGTGATGTAAAGAGAGAAAGATATAAAAAGAGCTGTTAAAAAACACTCACCAGAAAGGCCAGCCTTGGGACCTTACTTTGAATATCTTTCATTGTTTTGTTGTTCAGACTGTAAAAAGAATACAGGAAAACCTGAGGAATGTACAAAACAAACCTGTTCCTTTTTTCACTTAACGTTAATTATAATTTCTCTACCTCTAAAGAGTCTTTGAAAGCATGTATCTGAAATGGCTATGTAGTAGTCCATTAACTATTCTGATCTGCCTAATTCTAACCAAACGGTAAGATGTTTGGGTTATTTCCAACTTACCACTAGACATCGTTATACTTTGCAGAGTCACTACACCAAAAGGTGACATTTATAAGGCTCATGTGCAAGGTTCCATGTTTTCCAGAAGGGTTATACCAATATACTGTGGTAATTTATACACATATATTCATTCTCAGCCATATGGCCTTGAACCCGACAGCAAGCCCTAGATCCTGTGTAAATTCCAGCAGAATGAGGTGTTCTCAGGAGAGACTGACCCACCCCACCCTCTGGGTGGTACCCTGACACCTACTGCCCTCTTCTTTGGAGCAGACAGACATCCTCTGGCTCCAGGTGTAGGCTTGGGAGGTGGCCTTGAGGCCAGGTCCTATGCTAGGCATCAGGACTATGAGGATGAACTGGCCAGGCATGCTCTGTCCCTCCCACAGCTGGTGAAGGAACATGGCAGTGGAGTGAAATCCAGAGGCACTCAAGCCTGGACTCAGGTTTTCTGGCCCTGACTCCACGGGGACTTTAAGGATTGGTTAACTTCACCTAGATATGGAAATAAATGCTATAAAATGTAAGGTAAAATGGATGACGATGGATGGGTTAATGCTGATGGGACCAAGGGAGGAAAACCTTATCTAAATCAGTCATATCAAGCAGTTACATCAGCACCTGAGATACGGTCTTGTGCCCATTTTACTGATGAGGAAAACCTAGTCCAGTGACTTGGAGGTAAGAAGAGGGGGAGGCAGGGTTAAACCTGTTTGGGCTATTTCCATTTCATCGAACTTAGAATGGCAAGGAGGAAGAGGAAGCTCATCCAGAGGGGGAGAGGCAGTAAGAGCTGACCCTTACTGAGTTCTTGTTGTGTGCCGGGTCCCATGCTTTACGTGCAGCATCTCATCCATTTGAGATGAATCCTCACAACCTCCTTAGGTGGGTGCCACTGCCCTTGTTACACAGGTGGCTCAGAATGCGATTGGCCCAAGGTCCTGCAGCCAGAAAAGAGCAGCATCAGTAATAAACTAGGGGTGTGTGGTTCCAGCACCAGCCCTCTTAACCTTCCACTAGAGTGCCTCCGGTCAACTCCTCCCCCAGCTGCAACCACCTGTGTGGGCCAGCTGTGTTGAAGCAATTCCTCACCCCCTGCCCAGCACAGCCCCGGTGACAGGTTTCCCCACCGGGTCTAGCGAATGCCATAGGACGGACCCCTGAAATGGAAGGGCCCTTAGGAACCACCTAGTCATCAACCAGCCCTCTTCATTTGATGAAAGAGGAAACCAAAACCCAGGGAGCGTAAGTGACGTGCCCAAGGTCACCCTGCAGGGCAGTGCCAGAGCCCAACTGGAGCCCAGGACTCCCATTCCTGGGCTTCTGAAGCACCACATCTCTCGCAGCTGCACCATGTGGTTGCAGGGAAGCCAGCTGTCATGAGACGCAGAAGGTACACAGTGTAGTGTCTTCCAGAACACAACCAAGCCTTGGGGGGCAGGATGCAGTGAATGCATGGCACATCTCTCTGTTTCATGTGGCTTTGGAGTGCATCCTATGTTTTTAAATATTCACAGTGGGTAGTATCTGAGATTGATCATTCCTGAAAAGGGTGTGCATTTCTTGGGAATGTGATGATTCTTGATCATGAGTTCCTACTCTGTCGTACTATATCCATTGCCTCCCTCATCCTCATACAGATTTCATAGATGTAACCAAGGCTCAGAGAGGTGAGACCACTGGCCTCAAACCTATGTCTTTCTGATGCAAGAGACCTTGTTCTCATCCACTGTGTTGAAAGAGCCAGGCAGATGAGGGAAGAGGGGATGAGCAATTCAGTTTGTCTCATTTGCTGACTTGAAAAGGCTGTTTTTATCCTGATTCAGAAACTCATTGTTCTTGGTTGGAAGGATTCCCAGTGGATCCCTAATAAAGTGGCTTTGGATAATGGCTGACCTGAGTCCCCGGACCAGCCCTTGGACAGGCCCCTGTGGCCGGCTGGACCCAGGGCTGAGCGGGGCCAAGGAGAGGGCTGGAGATGGTGGGACAGATGAGGGCAGGTCTGAGGCTGAATCGGCCTGAGGCCCTCAAGATAGCCACGAATATGCCAGCAAGGGGAGAGACTGGAGAAAGATTCAAACCTGATGGGGCATCCGTAGACTGCTAACTGTCTCTGACTTTAGGAGCTGATGAAGGAGACATCAGTGCAGTTGCCGGCCAAGCATCAGTTGCCCTTGGTCTGGCAACAACACTACAAGGGGCCGCTGGAAGGACTCACATGGATATGGACCACTCCCATTCCTGAAGCTCAGATGGGGCTTACCCACCGCTCTGGTTCCTGGGGTGAGCAGGTGACACTGTCCTGGCCAGTCAGCATATTCCAAACTTTGACCATAGTGACTGGTACAAGGAGGAGCCTGGAACCCAAACTGGTTAAATGAGACTTGGTCCCTGGGATTTGGAAAATGAGAAACCTCCTACTGGGGGTACGGGGCTGGGAGGATGGAGGCACATTCCTTGGAGAGAACCTCTAGATGTTTCCATTTCAGCCTGAGAGAGTCCTGACTAACACAGTGAAGTGAGGACACCAGCATACATTTAGAACTTATTGTTTGCTGGGCATTGTACATTATTTTGCTCGTTTCTCATAATGTCCTATCTGGTAGTCATTATTATCCCCATTTCGAAGATTGAGCACATATATAAGTACTTGATAAATATTAGCTGCTTAGTGACAGGCACACAATAAATACTTTATAAAAATCAGCCTAGTGTTTCCCAAATTTCCCTGATAAGAATCCCTGGGGCTTGTCAGACTGCCAGGTCTCACCCCTGGGAATTCTGGTTCAGTGGCTCTGAGGCGGTGCCCAGGAATCTGTGTTTTAACAAGTGCCCAGAGGATTCTCATCATCGAGGACATTTGGGAAATGCATTCAACTCAATCCCCACCACAGCCTACTGAGGAAGGTATTACAGCCATTTTTATTTAAAGTTGAGGAAAGTGAGGCTCAAGAGAGGTTTATAACCCGCCCAAGCTGACACAGGTGGTGAGTGACAGAGCTGGGGTTTGAACCTGGGTCTACGTGACATTCACACTCCTTGGGGAAAAGGGATGATAATGACTGCCTGTGTATCTCACAGATTGTGAGATGATGCAAAAGATGGAAAGAACATCGCAAAGTGGAAAGTGAAAACCGCTACGGAGAGAGAGAAATGGCTGTTTATGAAAAAGAAGCCCAAGCAACTCAAATATTTTCTCTAACCAGAGAAAAACAGAAGTCCTAAAAGCCACTTGGAAAAAGAAGCCCAAGCAACTCAAATATTTTCTCTAACCAGAGAAAAACAGAAGTCCTAAAAGCCACTTGGAAAAAGAAGCCCAAGCAACTCAAATATTTTCTCTAACCAGAGAAAAACAGAAGTCCTAAAAGCCACTTGGTAATTAAGATAATCTGCGTGGAAGTTTTTTTTTTCCTCCCTTTAAAATTTACATGTAATAAGATTCACTCTTTGTATCAACCACTACAGTCATGCTAGATCTTAGTTTGTAGAATATCT